TTGAACTAGGACTGGAGGTTAGATGTCTCTTCTTTTACATATTGTGCATCTGTCAGTGTACATTGACTTTCTCAATTTTTAATACATGTAAAAGAAGACCTCAATTACAGGATAAGAAAAGGCACAATGGTTATCAGAGGTGTAACATTGTTGCGGTTGATGAGATGGGAATATAAATGCTCTAATATTACCTTCTTGAGAGCTACTTCTTAGGAAGACATCTGATATGTACTAACATGCAGATCTAACCAATAATGTTGATTTAAAGACTGGCTTCTCTCTTCGTTGTTTTCTTTTGAACGATAAACTGTGGATATGAAAAAAAAAAAAAAAATGGAAGACCTAAGAAAACTTTCCAACAACTTGAGAACATGGTATTCTTTTTTCTTTTTTTTTTTTTTTTTTTTTTTTTGCGCTTGCTATAATACCCACATACCCCAATAATGATGCTTTCTGCTTCATTAACTTTTCTTAGTACGGCTTTTTAGGCGATTAACTGCATCTTGTATACCAAAAGGGATAAATCTCAATTTCAGTATAGTTAAGCGTCCTGTGTAGTGAGAGTTGTTCGAACAATTTTTTTCTACGGCGAACTCTGCAAGCTGACATCAACTCATTAGTGTCTCATCTTAAGCCCTAACGTGATAGTCGAGTTGTATTAGTCCTTGCTTTAACAATTTTTAGCTAGGTATTGCCACATCATTAACCCATACAGCTCAAACCCTAAGTGTAATGCTGGGAGCTGCCTTTTTGGTCTGCAAAGAAAGCTTTTGAACTAAGGACTGTTTCGTCAGGTTAGATTGTCTCTTACTTTTACAATATTGTGCATCTGTCTAGTGTACATTGGACTTTTCTCCAATTTTTAAATACTATGGTAAAAGAAGACTCTCAATTTAACTAGGATAAGAAAAGGAACAATTATTGGTTATCAGATGGTTTTTGAAAATGAGTGTAACATTAGATTGCGCGTTGATTGAGATGGGAATTATTAAATAGCTCTCTAAATTAATTTACCTTTTTCTTATGCCCAGGAAGATCTTACTTCTTAGGAAGACATCTGATAATGTTATAGTCTTCTCACACTAACATGGCACCCAGATCTCCTAATCCTCCTCCTACATCATATCCGTGCTTTGCACTTTTAACCAGTCTCGGCTTCTTCCCTCCTCTTCTCTGTTCGTTTTCCTTTACCAACATTGAACACCGATAAAAAACCTGCCTACCGCCACAAAAGCAATATCCCGAAAAAAACAAAACCAAACCAACAAACCTGGAAGACCTAAGAAAACTTTCCAACAACTTGATGAACATACCGGCTATTCCCAATTTCTTTCTACTTTTTTTTTTTTTTATTTTTTTTTCCAAATCTTGTTCAAGATTTTTTTTTTTTTTTTTTTTTTTTTTTTTTTTAATCTTTTCAGAATGTAGGAATTTATTTTGTTGGCTTGATTCTCGAAAAGAGATTATATCTGCAGGTTCTATGACTGGATTCTTATCTTGTCCTGAATAATTTTAAACTTGCTAAAGCTTTGAACCCTCCTCTATTTGGCATCCTATGGAAATTGTTGTCCAGTTTTCAAAGCATTTGGTTTTGACCGAGGAGTAGTGTGCTTGTCTATATGAATTGATTAACTTGTAAAAAGAATTGTATTTTTTAATGTTGTATTCTACATTTTTATCAGGTAAAACCATGGGTCAAAACAAGTCTTGCACCAGGTTCTGGGGTTGTCACCAAATACTTGGAAAAGAGGTATATTCTTAATTTCATATCTAAAAATTTGTGTAATGCTGATAATATATTACTACTAAATTGTGCACAACCCTTTCAGTGGCCTGCAGAAGTATTTGAATCATTTAGGGTTCCACATAGTTGGTTATGGATGCACCACTTGCATTGGCAATTCAGGTGACATTGATGAAGCAGTGGCATCAGCTATTACTGAAAATGGTAAACCTATTTTTTTTTTGTGTAATGCTTCTTGTTTCTGCCTGGGTCGGATCTTCATTGTTTACATCAAGCTTAGTTTGTCCAAAGCACTGATAGACAGATCGGCCAGCACGGAATTGTTCAACATTTCTCAATTTGGATCCTAAGTAAAATAGTGTTTGGGCTTTAGTTTAGCTGTAAAGAGAGTTGAATGGAGAAAAGGAAAATAGTGTTTAGAATATCTTGAACTGATAATCTTGTTGATTTTTTGTCTTTCCAGATTTAGTTGCAGCAGCTGTATTGTCTGGGAATAGGAATTTTGAGGGTCGTGTGCATCCTTTAACAAGAGCTAATTATCTTGCCTCACCTCCGCTTGTGGTTGCCTATGCACTTGCTGGAACGGTATACAGCAAATTAGTTTTTGAGCATACTTGCTCTTGTTTTTTACTGTAGCATTTAATTTTGTGTGTGATGATATGCATGGTAGATGCTGTCTGACTATCTTCACCAAATGAAGTTGCTGATTTACTTGGGAAATCAAATATTTATGTCATAAATTGGCAATGTGCAGGTGGATATTGATTTTGAAACAGAACCAATTGGGGTAGGAAAAGATGGAAAGCAGATATTTTTCAGGGATATTTGGCCATCCAATGAAGAAGTCGCACAAGTGAGCTATTCAATATTCTATTATATTTTTTCTACCCAGACAATTAGGCTAAAATATTAGGTTTCTTATGGTTTGTTCTCTATTCATCCATGGGCTGCAGGTTGTACAATCAAGTGTGCTGCCTGATATGTTCAAAGCTACTTATGAGGCAATCACTAAAGGAAATCCCATGTGGAACGACTTATCTGTACCTTCTGGCACACTCTACTCTTGGGATCCAGCGTCAACATACATACACGAGCCTCCCTATTTCAAAAGCATGACCATGTCACCTCCTGGACCACACGGTGTGAAGGATGCTTACTGCTTGCTCAATTTTGGGGATAGTATCACAACTGATCACATTTCACCTGCTGGTAGCATACACAAAGACAGTCCTGCTGCCAGATACCTCATTGAACGTGGTGTCAACAGAAGGGACTTTAACTCGTATGGAAGTCGTCGTGGTAATGATGAGGTGATGGCAAGAGGCACATTTGCCAACATTCGTATTGTCAACAAACTATTGGGAGGGGAAGTTGGACCTAAGACAATTCATATTCCTAGTGGAGAGAAACTATCGGTTTTCGATGTGGCCATGGTAATTTCTTCTGACCTAGCTGTCATCTTTGTTGTTATTAGCAATTAGAAGACAAGCTATGTCCGTACAAATCAGAAAACAAATGTTAGTAAAAGGTAGAAATTGAAACCAAGAAGAATAATATGAGGGAGAAGCTATGGTGCATCATGTGTTCTCCTGCATCTTGGTTAGCTTTAGATGCCATGCAGGCTTAGCGTAATTTCCTTAAGAATTCAATCTAATGGTACCCAAAGTATAGTCTCTTTGTTGAGGCCCTTATGATCTCATATTAGTTGCAATTTTTGTTTTTGTTGCTTTCTCTTAACAGAAGTACAAGAGTGAGGGACATGATACAATCATCTTGGCTGGTGCCGAGTATGGGAGTGGAAGTTCTCGTGATTGGGCTGCCAAGGGTCCAATGCTATTGGTACATCTTCTATCAGCATCATTATTAATCCAATTTCCAGTTAAGCTTTAGTGGTAACCTTTAGTTTGTTCTTGAAACAGGGTGTAAAAGCAGTGATAGCAAAGAGCTTTGAGAGAATTCATCGTAGTAATTTGGTCGGCATGGGTATTATTCCATTATGTTTCAAGACTGGTGAGGATGCTGATACACTTGGATTGACTGGCCATGAACGCTATAGCATTGATCTCCCGAATAGCGTAAGTGAAATTAGACCGGGTCAAGATGTCAAAGTGTTGACAGATAATGGCAAGTCATTTACATGCACCTTACGTTTTGATACAGAGGTATGGAGTTCGACCATGATCAAGTTTTGACCTTAAGGCATAATAATGTTGTGATTCCTTGATAATTCATAATTGTTTTTACCAAGGCCTATTTTTCTTTTCTTCATTGTAGGTGGAACTGGCATATTTTGATCATGGAGGTATCTTGCAATATGTCATCAGGAACCTGATTCATGCAAAACATTGATATCTTATAGTTGAATTATCAATAAGGTGGGTTTGCAGCTTTTAAGCAAACGGGTAACAAAAGATTGGACAACGTGGAATGTTGCCTCTTTCTTGAGGAGACGGTCATTTTCTGAATAAATCAAGAAGCGAGATGAGAATACTGGAGCAATTGATATATCAAATGCTGTATTTTGGTTGAAGGCGAAATGCTATCCAGTGCTGATTATTTGGGAAGAAACGTGTAATTGAATTGATGATGATTTGTACCTGAATATTCTTTTTGAATCTTGCAACTGTATTTCAATGCTAGTTGGTTGCAATTTGATATTTCTGAGATGGGAATCAAGATGTTCTTATGAGTTATATTTTAGATTCCTGGTCCAGATGGGCTATTGGACGTTATATTTTGGTAGGTGTTTAATTTTTGCAAAGTTGGTCTATTCTATCAATTTTAGGGCTTTGAAGTGTTTTAAAATAATAAAAAATTATGAAAAATCAGAAATTAAAAAAAAAAATAGTGAAATTGTAAACAGCCGATTTTAATTACTGAAAAACAAGGTAGATTTATTGTCTATTAGTTAACTTAGCTAAATTAGACATTTAATAAAAATTTAAGAACTAAATTAGCGTTTAACTTTTGTTTTCCTTTTCTTGCTGTGCTAAGAAGTGCACAAAAAAGGTTGTATTATTCTTTTTAAATATTAAAAAAGAGATTTAATTCTAGATCTATCGCAAAGTCGTATATATATTTATTATATATATTACTGTGATAAAGTATACTTTTGCGTGGCTGCAGTAGAGACTAGAGACTGCCTTTGTGTTGCCTGTTTTTAATTTTTTTTTTTTTTAATCTGTATTGAGTTCTCTTTTGATGGCAAAAAAAATTTGCAGGTTAGAAACAAACAAATGATCAAGACAAAAACAAAAATAACAAAGGCACAGACATTTTATTACTGAATAAAACAAATATCATCTCAATTACAAAATCAGGACATGGGTGTGCTTCTATAAACTCAAAGATTGATCTATTTCTGCTGTGGCCTTGAAAAAACTATTTCATCTTCAAAGTCCAAACAAAAAAGCTCCAAACTCCAATGTCCCAAAAATTTTAGCAGGAATATGAGCTGTATACAAGAAAATTACGGATCGACTCAAAGCCCGTTAATCAAGGAGCTCTCTTTCAGGAGGGGCAAATTACAGTTGAGATATTTTGTCTTGTTAATCCTACATTTTGGGAACCGAGAATCACCTTTAGGGCTCTACTTCAGGCTTGATACTCATTCACACGCATCCACTTGGTAGCTGACCACTTATTCCCTTTAATCACAGCGCAACCACCTGGAATTGAAGAAAATTTGAACTTATCAAACATTTAAAGATCAGCACTAAATCCAGCAAGAAAGTGAACTAGATGCACAGAGCATGTATTCCCCTTTTAATAATGCTTAGGGACATAAGCAAGCATATAATTGAAAAGCTAATCATACATATATATAGCTGATAACAATCACTAACCATGTAAACTTGAAGGATCCAGAGAGGCGTCAGGTTTCATACTCCAGAAAAGCAATGCATCGCCCCTCTTCGGTTTAACAGAAAGCCCTCCTTTTCCACATTCAGACAGCTCATTCCACCAAGGCACATCACTAACATTCCCTTCAGCAGCAGGAAACACTGTCTCACCACCTTCTTCAACATCAGAGCTGCATACAATGATGAAAAGGAAAATATTACAGAAAGGACAAATGAGAACCTGTCATAAATCCATTGGAATCATAAAAGTTCTTACTCACAGGTACATAAGAAGAGTAGCTATACGCTGGCCACCATTCCTGGTATTGAACTCATCATTGAAATAGTCAAAATGAGGCTCATACTTTTGCCCAACTTCATAGTGGAGAACTTGGAGTCCTTCCCCATGCTCTGCACATTGCATTGGCTTAAGTAAAAACTAATGAATTGCATAACCAAAACAAGATGAACATCAAAGTCCCGTATATCATAAGGAAATTGGAAATTACAAGAGAATGTAGAATTTGAAAGGACCCATAATTTCTGAACTTACATAATCTTCTCTTTCTTAAACAAAATGTCATGGTTAAGTCAAGCATAGTACACCCACTTCTTTTTCTTTTTCCTTGTTTCTTTCTTTATTATTTTTTTAGATTACCATTTTATTTTGGTCACAGTGGCACCAAATATCAATGTGGGAGCAGAAGGACCTCGCTTCTATTGTTCATTGGCATATTGGTAGCACCAAAGACGTGATGCCATTAGTTTGAGACTCACAACAGCAGCAACATTTCTGCTGATTATGTTGATTCTAGCAAACTCATGGACAACAAAGAGGGCAATTGTGGCAGATCTGCTTTAGAAAAGGGGGATAAATTGACCCCTCTTTTTTTTTTAATTCTCTTTAGATACATATATATTTTCCCAAATTGACCCGTCTTAAAATTAGGATTAAACCCTTTTTATTATATTTTATAATATATTGACCCCAGAAAATTTTTTTTCTAGATCCGCCTTTGCAGACAATGATTGTGGTGGTGGTATTGGTGCATGTCTGGCAGAAGTAGAAGTGACAAGGATATTTCATGATAAATGAAAGTAAAAATAAGTGATTTAGGGGTTATCAAGGTATCAACCTTGCCTTCCAAGTAAAATTCAAATTCCTTGCAGTCGATTCCAAATAAGGGGAAAAGGAAATAGGAAAGATTTTTCAATGCTGAGAAGAGCCATATGAAGGCAAATAGTTAGTTTTGCAATTATTTACCATATTCAGTTCCAAATTCTGTTGGAAGAGCACATGCATCTTTTCAAATTTGTCAATTTACACAAATGCAACCATGTACTTCAACAAATCTTATGTTTCTTACCATACAAAAGCACCATCATGCACGTGTATCAATACGAACAGCACAATGATATAGTATAGAGAAGTTGTCCATGTTGACAGAAGTTGACACAAACAAGAGCGTGATGCGACCAAGAAGAGGTGGGGATTTGAGGGAGATAGGAGACAAGCAGGATAGGAAACCAATTGAAACTGAAACTAAAAAAGCAGATAGAAATGGAGCTCAAACTGCATACCTACAGGGATGAAGGTGAAATCAGCAATCCTTTTCTCAATTTCTCTGATCTTTTTATCACGACCTCTAGCAAGGAATGTGCCAGAGCTTGTTCGTACTCTGCATATCGATAATTTAGAAAGTAGAATATAAGCCAAGATAAAGCACAAGAAGAAAATCAGAGTAACAAAAACTTCCACCTACGTATTGAAATGACAGGAGAAAAGACATGAAAACTCTCACCTGCTATCTTTACTCTTTCCAGTTTCACTATCAACAACTGTAGACTTTTGCATATGAGGCTTCGCAAGATTGATCAAATAGTCGCACTCCTCCTTTGTCTAACCAAAAAACCAAAAAAACACACGCATTTAGTAGTCATTACACTTGCTTGAGGTTTATGTATAAACAATAAAGTTTACTAGAAAAAACAGATGCTAACAAACATCTCAATCCCAAAACAAACGGGAGCTTAAACAAAAGCTTAAACCTGTAAACTTTCATCATAAGTTAGACTTTTAAGGATCCAAATAAACAAAATTTTAGCCAGTTAGCTACAGATTAAACTAAAGGATTTAACAAAAAAAAAAAAAATTCTCTCTTCCAAGTCAACTAAATAAGAAATCCCAGTAAACTACATCGAATATACAATGTCTTTGCCAACCCAGAAAACATACAAGAATACAAACCACCATAAAAAATAAAAAATTCTAAGCAAACTTGAATTCAATTCACTGGCCAAAAAGCACTTCAATCTGAAGGGGGGGGAAAAAAAAAAGCAAAATTAGAACTCACCAAGAAATTATGATAGATAAAAGCTCGAGGCGCCCACGAGATCACCTCAGCCCAGCGCTCTCTATTACCATCATCCCTTTCGCTCCTGAAAATTACACACAATTAAAAAAAAAAAAATACAAAACAATCACAACAACGACGAGATCGCCATTCCAATCAATACAAAACCGCAAAGACCTTACCTATCGAGTTTATTATGGACGATAGTGCTGAGATCATGAGCTTTGTGAGAGGAATCGCCAGAATTGCTAGGAATAGAGAGAATTCCAAGAGCTAGAAGAATCAAAATCACAAATGTGAACATAAGGAGCACAGTTAGAATCAGTGTTGAAGAAGATGATTTTCGAACTGGAAGCCGAGAGTATCTTGCTTTCGCCATTTCTTTAGTTAAAAACTGGCCTTCACCTTCGAAGATTCGGAATTGAAACCCTAAAAAATGGATCGAACTGGAGGAAATGAAGATTGAATTTTGTTTAGCAAAGCAAGATCTAGGAGACTCTGTACGTCTTTAAATCTTTTATTAACAGACGCGCTTTTTAGGTAATAAATCAATTATTAATTAATTAATTTTTAATGTTTGTGAATACGAAGCTGATTTGTATACAACGTGTTGGAGAGAAGAAGACTTCTCTTTAGTAAGAAAACGGAATAATCCTCATTTCCACCTGAATTTCATCACCATATACAATTTGTCCGAAATGGAGGTTGCGGATTAATTAATTTTTGGATTTTTTTTCTTTTTTATATTAATATATATATATATATATTCCATTTTTGTAATAAGTAGAAAATATATCTAATCAAACAAAAATACGATTATTTAATATTTAAAGAAATAAATTAGACATTATACTCTGATTTCTCACACACAATAATAATTATTCATTAAGTGAGTAAAGTGAAACAAATTTCTATGAAATAGATTTAGCTATTTATTATAGTTTTACAATGTTATTATAAATTTTTTGTAGGGCTTTAATTTTCAAAACTTAGCATTTTTTTTTTCTTTTAGGTTAATTAAGATTGCTTGAATTGAAAACGATCAGATTTTGATCATTAATTGAACCAAACGAATTACATAAAATCCTGAATAAAATTAATTGATTGAATCAAAACAATCAAATTTAATTAAAAAAAACGAACCGAATGCTTATCTCTAATCTCCACTATACATTGAGTAAAAATAGATATAAAGGGTAAATTATAACTTGAGTTCCTAAATTATGTTTGAACTAATAATTGAGTGTCTCTATATTTAAAAAATAAATATAACGTCTCTAATTTACATTTTTATCTTATATTAAATCATTTTGTGACATCCTACCGAGTCGAGTCTTTGCATAGCCGAGTCTTTGCATAGAGTCGAGTCGAGTTGAGTCGAGTTGAACCAAACCCGGTTGGGGTAGAATGGGATTATTAGTGGACTTACTTGATTGAACTTACTTGATTGAGAGAAAAAGAGGCAAAGTGTAAGATTAGGATTAATGGCATTAAAGAACAAGCCGATCAAGCTTGGGTATTAAGTTGTAGTCTTTTGACAATAGAGGTATCATTTCATAAGTTTCCATCATTTATCTTGATTTTGTGATGGCCTACCCGTAATCATCATTTTCACTTTCCCATTGTTCATCTTTATCTTCATCTTCTTCATCTCCTTCCTTTCCTTTATTTCTCCATCCATTTAGGCAACCTCAATTTTTCAACAAGTAAGTAGACTATCTTGAAGCTTATGTATTCAACCTCTTTGAGTTATATTGTGGAGAATTTATAAGAATTCTGATGTGTATAGGAGAAGGGAGTTCAAAGCTTGTAGAGAAAAGAAGCTAGAACAGAGCTCAAGCTTTTGGAGTGGAGGTTTGATATCTCTTTTCATTTCCTATTTTCTTTGCATGGAATTTGTGTGGTGTGTTGATGCTGAGACAATATATTGCTTCATGTTGAGTGGGTGTTGGAGAATGGTAGTGGTGAGAAAACAGGGGAGGTATTGAGTTTATGTTGAAAACAGGGGATGAATATATGAAGTGGAAACAGAGTTTGCTGGAAATTTTACCAGCAACTTCATCTTGATTTTGAACCCATTTAATGTTTGTTATTGAGAGAATGACCAAAGAAGCTGCAGATCTGCGCAGGCTTGGGAAACGCGTCGCCGGACCTGGCACTGCGTAGCTGGAAGCACGTCGCGCGCTCGCGACTTTGCACTGCGCGCTCGCGACTTCCACTTCAAATCTCTCTGGGACTCTCAATTGGCACATTACGCGGCTCCGACCTTGCAAGATGCGCTCGCGAAGTTGCCACTTGGCCTGGAAGCGCTCGCGACTATGCATTATCGCGCTCGCGTAGTTGGCATGAAAACTCACTCCTTCTCATTTGGCAACAACTACGCGCTCGCGACTCTCAAGTACGCGATCGCGACTGTGCCTGATAACACACGTTCTTATTTTCTGCATCTCGCGCTCGCGAACTTCCACAGGCGCGCTCGCCGGAACTTGGCTTTTCTTCTCCCCTTTCCCTCTTCTCTTTTTCTTTTTTTACTGCATTTTGGACTTCTTTTTTTTGGACTTCAATTTCAATGCAATTGTATTCCTTTGCTTACCATATATGCCTCCAATCATTTTAGCATCAAAATATATCATGAGAACATGTATTAAAACACCATGCAAGCATGCAAATGATGTGAACTCATATGAACATTATGATTTATGAAGTGATGAACTATTTCTATGATGTTGTGTTATACTTTTGACATACCAACATGATGCTCCATTGAGGTTAGGTAGAAACCACGTCGATAAGGCCATGTCGCGACATAGGATAGCAGATTTGCGCCTCATACAGTTTGTTACTCCGGCTACAGGCCGTTGAGTGGATATGATTATATGAGCCATAGCAGCCAAGGGCCATAGCAGCCAAGTATACAGTATTCATCCAGTTTATACAGTTTTCTTATCACCTCGATTTCGCTATAACCTTATGGAGCCATACAGATATCTGGACATAACATTGCATAAATCATACAGATAAATGAAAGATATCATGATATGTGTGCTGTGCCTTGTGTGCCTACATGATTCTTTATATACAAGTATGTGCTTTATTGTTTCTTTCCATGTTGAGATATCCACTGAGCTTTATTTGCTCAGCGAGTTACCTGTTTAACTCGCAGGTTTTGAGACTAGTCCATAGAGGGTCCGTTTATTGCTGCCCGTTCATCTGTAGAAGGACTCGCCGTCTTCAGGGTAGAAACTCAATTTTGTTATTCTTTTTTAGCATTAACAGGGCACAAAAAAAAAAAAAGTTTTTTTTTTTGCGGGGGGGGGGCCCCCAAATTTTTTTTCCATTTTGCTAACTAGTATCATGTCTTGTTTTAAAGATTATAGACAGTATAATATTAACTAGCATCAGGCATGCTAGTTATGTTCATATACAGGATGATGTCAGCATGACAGGAATTACAAGTCAAACCAGTTTGTAGCGTCTCGTCTCGTTTATTCGGTTTACGGGGTGGACCGAGAAGGGATGTTACAAATCATTTGGTATCAGAGCCTAGGTTCAGTTTCCCTGGCTTGATTCATAAGTCAGTATAGATGTACATCCATTCTACCCTTGATGAAACTAAGCAGTTGTTGCTTTTTTAGGAGGATGTCACAAGAGGTCAGAGCGAGTCACATGCCTTCCAGGGCAGTGGAGGGTGAGGCTTCCAGTAGCACCAGGTCAGGAGGTGCTGTTAAAGCAACCTTGCAGATTACTTTTTCGAACAGATTTGCAGGGGTGATGCCGCAAGCACCAGATCGTAAATAGAAAGAGAAGAAAGCTCCCATTGGAGAAGCTTCGAAAATATGGTGCGAAGGAATTTCAGTGCCAGTAAGGATGGATAGTCCAGAAATAACTGAGTAATTGGTTTAGATGGACATCGAGAGTTCTGAAAAAACAATTGCAGTGTACACTAGAGGACAAGTTGATATTAGTGCCACATCATGCTAATAGATGAAGCATATTAAACATGGTTGGACTACTGTTCAGCAGCGAGTATCAACAGAACAGCGTTTACTTGGCAATTCTTCGTGGACGAATTCAAAGAAGAAGTTCATCACAGAGTCATTACTAGATGCGAGGAAGAAGACTTCTTATACCTTCGACATTAACAGAATGTCATGTTCAGAATATGGAAAGGAGAATTTTACTAGGCTTAGCGGTTATGGTTGAAAGCGATTTAGTTGGGCGACAAAAGCCGAAAGGTGTAAAAAGTTTCAGGAAGGCCTAGAATGGATGAGATTCAGATGGGAGTGGGTAGCTTCCAGATTCAGAGAGTTCTCAAGCTTTGGTAGAGGCAGCTCAGGAGATAGAGCGAATTCAGGCCAGTCAGCCGTAACCAGATGCAGCGGACTCAGCAGAGGAGAGACCAAAACTCAGAGTGCACCCAGTAGCTATACAGTCAGAAAAAGAAGAGATTCAGAGGTGCTAGTAGTTCAGCTGGTTCTAGACCTTCCTTTAGCCAAGGCGCAGTAGGGATGCTAAATATGCCAGCGCGTATCAGTTGTGTGCTAGTTCCGCCTGGTTAGCCGAGGTTTCAGGCAGAGGAAACTGGTAGAGGGCACCGTAAGAGGTGCAGAGTCAGTCGATTTATCCTTTTTCCACCTTGTGAAGCATTGTGGCAGACGGACATGGTGGAGAGTGTGGTTGGTGACTGTTAATGTTGGATATGCGGAGCATCGACCATCAGAAGAAAGGACTGTCCTTAAGAGGCAGAGTTCCTACACAGTTCTTAAACAGGCAGAGGTAGAGGTAGAGCTCCGGAGGGGCAGAGACATCAAATCAGAGACTGTTGACAGGACCCGAATACTTAGAGGTTCCATCCAGGGTTTTATGCTATGCGAACAGGGAAGAGGGAGAAGCTTCAGATTGTAATAGTTTGCGTGAGTTTTCTCCTATGGTGGTCATACGTTTTATGCTTTTAATGATCCTGGATCATCTCATTCATACATTAGTTACCTAAAACCTTTGGGTTTTAAAAGGTGTAAGAAGTTGGCATATGTGAGTCAGGGTATGTGTTACTAATCACTAGGTGAATTGTAGTTAAAAACCATACAGTTATCGAAGGATGCCCAAATTGTTATACCATGAAAAAGTTTCCAGGAGATCTTATGGAGTTGCCATTTTAGAGAATTTGATGGTTATTCTGGGTATGGATGGCTATCCAGACATCAGGCTATAGTTGATTGTGCAAAGAAAAGGGTGACATTTATATACTACAGCAGGGGAAAAGATAATAGTAGTCGGGAAGCGGCGGAGATTTTCTGGGTAATGTGATATCAGCCAGGCCAACAAAAGAGATTAAATTCAGAAGGGTTGTGAAGGCAACTTGGTATGTTGCCATTACAGCAGGCAAGAACAGTCAAAAATTTGCAAGACATTACAACAGTGTGTGATTTATCCAGATGTATTTCCAGAAGGAGTTACCAGGGGTTACGCCAAGGAGGGAAGTGGGAGTTTACCATAGATGTTCTATTCTGGGCAGCACCAGTATCAATTGCACCTTACAGAATGGCACCAAAGTAACTCCACTTAATAACCCATTCTACCCCAACCGGGTTTGGTTCAACTCGACTCCATGCTAAGACTCGACTCGGTAGGATGTCACACCGGTATTATTTGTAAAGAAG